GTTAATCACCATATCAAGTAATCCTTTACTCATAGTTGAGCATAAAAAAAAGCCAGCAAACAGTATATATAAAAAACTGTAAATTTAAAAACCTGCAAATAGGGATCGTAAAAAAGTAAGGAAACAAGACTGGAGATACTGTAGATATTATTTAATCACACTACAAGTCTCTATTTTGACTCCACCAAATGTAATTCTAGGTAACAACATGGAGTCAAAATAGGGGTTTGTAGTTTGAGTATATGATGTCTACAGTATCTCCAGCCTTTTTACGTTCCCTATTTTCAGGTTTTTAAATTCTAAATTTTTTATTTATCTTGTGCTATATATAGATATCCAACTAAACATGTACATTCAGTTTTTTCTGTCAGAACGGTATAACTGCCCGATATGTTTGATTCTCTCAATTCTTAAAATCTCGCTGTAGAATTCAATATTTTAGCATTAATTTCAATAAAACTATGGTGAACATTATTTGGCTAAAATTTATTTCAATATCAAATTATTATCCAAGGCTACGTATGATCTTAAAATTTAAAAATGATAAAGTATTCGTCAGTAAGGTTTGTTTGTTTGTTTTTTGAATTTCGCGCAAAGCTACACGAGGGCTATCTGCGCTAGCCGTCCCTAATTTAGCAGTGTAAGGTAGCTAGTCATCACCACCCACCGCCAACTCTTGGGCTATTCTTTCACCAACGAATAGTGGGATGGGCCGTCACATTATAACGCCCCAACGGCTGAAAGGACGAGCATGTTTGGTTGGACGGGGATTCGAACCCGAGACCCTCAGATTGCGAGTCGAGCGCCCTAACCACCTGGCCATGTAGAGTAGAGGTGTTGAATATTTCAAATCTAGCAACTTTTTGTAGTACACATCTACTGATGAGTTGGTTTTATATTGTTGCTACTAATTAATTTCTATAATACTTTCAATATTTTAAACTAATAGATATATTAAAAAGTTGCGAACCAATGCATCAGGTAACACTCATTTTCTTTCAAATGCGTGACAAATAGAATATTACATCATAGTTTTTGTTAGAGAGAGAGAGAAATAAAGCAGATAATCAGTAATAATATTAAGCCTAAGCATTAAAAATACAATAATAGAATAAAATTACAAATCACAATTTTAAGAGTAAAAGTTAAAAAGCTGCCATTTATTTTGTAAGTCTTTTTGTTTTTAATCTTAGTTATGAGTTGCAATTAATCCTGCGTGGGTGACTTACTTCCGTTAATTATAAAAAGAATCGTAAATTATTAGCATGTTTTTTTTTGTTGCTTCTTTGTCGATCTAACCTCTATTTTGATGAGCATATTTTCTTCTTTTGTCAGCAGTAGTTTATTTGCTTTCTTCTCTTCTGAGCGAAATATGAATACATACACAATAGTTCATAACTGTGTAAAATGATCCATGTTATAAAAATCAGATAAGCAGAATATCATATATGGTATGCTAGATTACAAATAAACAGAAATCATTTGTTTAAAAAACGTATCTTTCTTTCTATTTTCAACCAACATTTGTATGAATATCTTGATTAATAATTTATCCTTTTCGAAACGAAAGGTCTTATCGGGTTTTCTTTTAATGTGATTGACTTGACATTAAATTTACACATACCTCACTCCACTGTCTACTACTGGCTTAATCATGCGAGCGAGCAAGGCACGTGCCATACAAATACTGTTCGTCAACATGGTTACCACCTTGATCCACCTTTCCTTGTACCTACGAACGATCCAATTTTTTCGTATCCAACCAAAGCTTTTAAACTCTTCCTGTAAGCCATCTTCTAACTGGACGAGCTTTTCCATAACCTAACGTAGTAAAAATTTGTTTATAGCTAAAAACTGGAGTGTAAGAAAATTTCTATCCTATCTTTACCAGAATAGCCTTTTATAAGTACTCTTTTCCAACGCGTAACGGTATGTCTGCGGACTTACAACGCTAGAATC